CAAGCAGACTAAGCTGGTTTCCATGACTGTGGTTTCAACCCTTCCGCCTATAACTGTTCCGGTCACGGCTAAGTGGCATTATATGTCCGCCTTTGTGTAAGCGCCTCTCTCTCTCTCTCTCTCTCGCTCATTCTCCCCACAACACAAACACAAAATTAAGCATGCATGTTCAATATCAATTTTGTAGATTCTTCATTTTTTTTTTGTGTGTGTATTTTTAATGTGTGAAAAAATAATTAGAAAGGTGTTTTGAGACTTTGATGTTAATTGCCCTCTCTATATACTGATTTTGAGTAAAAGATTAGAAAGATGTTTTCAAAAAAGACAGTAGTAGTATTTCAGAGGGAAGATTTTCGTGGTAATTCTTTTATGTTTAGTCCTCCTTTTACAACCTTGAGGAATTCTACTTCTCTAATACTAAACTTTTATGGAAATTATTATGTACCCTTGAAGCGAATTTCTAGTATATGTGGACCTTTAAAAACAGTGAAGCGTTGAAAAAAAAAAAGAAAAAGGTTCATACATCCTCTGAAAAAATAACCTCCAATTATGCATTTAGGATTCCTATCTTAATATCTATGAACTGTTGGCCATTGCATGACAAGAATACTGGTCCAGAGCAATAAAATACTTAGTATCCAAATTATTATTATTAGTAGTAGTAGTAATAAGAATACCGAATCTGGCCTGGCTAAGGCGAATTTTGTGCGATGTGAACGTGGCGACGTCAGATGAAATTAATGCAAACAGCTGCTAATTTATAAGCAAAGCTATGCACCCACGTCTATAATTGAAGCAAATAAAATATATTGCACAGCTTTGTATCCATCTATAAGAGAAGCAAATAAAGTATATTTTCTGTGAGAACTTGAATTGTGTTTTCTTGATATGGTGAGTCCACAACTTGAAATGTGAACTAGTTCATAGGTTTTTAGATTAACATCCCATCAGCCGACCGCTTCGTTCCTTTTTGCTTCCCAATGGTGAAAAACGGGACAAAAAACAAAACAAAGTAACTCAGACCATGGTTCAAAGAATAAGCTTAGCCCGAGATGACTCGGCCGAGTTATCCTCGGAATAATGCTTTCTGTTCCGATAGATATCAGGATGAGATGATTTTAAGATACATGGATCGTATCACTGAGAACTTGGCTGAGAAGTCTCCGACACAGATAGAAACGGTTGAGTCACACTGAGTCATCCCGAGTCAATTTATTATAGTATATTTTACAGATTTTCTTTTGCTTATTTTTTTTTATTTTGCATATTTTTTTTATATTATTCACAATTTTTTAAAGTATTAAATGTTTCAAAATTTATGTATCATCGAGACCGCGATCGATATGACGAGATCAATGTGGGACGGTTCGAATTGCAACCGCGACTTTGAACCATGAATCAAACGTACTTTTTTTTTTTATATATACAAGGCAGAATTCTAAAATCGAGAATTCTCTGCTTTCAATTCTTTCCATCTCATCTCTCAACCCAACCCGGCCAACTTGTTGGATCAAATCAAGGTCAATCATATCTGTATTTCATATGCCCTTTGCATGTGCATGCCATAAAGTACGTCTTTGTCTAGATGGATGGATGTGTAACGAAAAGTTTCAAGTCCTTGTGTGATATAAATGAAACGATTGCGAGTTGAATTTGCAAAGTCGTCGCCCCGGTTCTTTTTAATCAGCCCTTTCCTTCTTTTTTTCTTTTTTCTTGTTTATGTTAAGTTCTCCTTTTTCATTAATTGTACCCACAAAGGTAACAAAAATTCATTGATTGGAAAAGTACTTCTAAAGACTCCCAATTCCAGGGCTATATAGGTTGATAATGGAGAGATAATTGAGCTCAAACATGTACGTGCTCACGTCGACTTCAGTTGCCCCTATTGAAGTCATTAGGCCAACAACCCCAGCAATTTGTCATTTATGTGACAAATGGTCCTATCCTATCCTATCTCCCTCCTGTGTTAATATCGCCAACTCCCCTCCCTTTGTGGGAATCATCAGCTGGGAGAGGGAGTTGGCACTTTGCTATATAGGCGAATAAAATATGCCCTTTTAGCTAGGCTTGGCCCGTCTTGGGCATTCAATATCAATGGAATTGACAGGAAAAATGGACCTCAGAAAGTTACAGATATCTGATCTTTTATTACTACAAATCATGCACCTTACTCATCTTCTAACAGTTTTATTATCAAGGGATTACTAATTTAGTGAATAAAGATGATTTAAGATGGAAATTTCAAATTTTTGACATCGTCCTTCAAATGAAAAGCCTTTGTAGAACCCGAAATCAGGAGAATTATGCTGAACTATAGCCAGCTACACAATAATCAAGTCAACAACAAAAATTACATTTGGAAAGGACAAAAAAGATAGAATGCAAAAAAATCTTGCATGTATCCATATCTAAATCTTCCAATGTTGATGTTGGCTTCAGGTACTTTGTGGTGGCAAATGTTGTAGCATGTGCATATGCAGCCCTTTCACTACTGCTTGTGTTGGGAAATAGGGGTGCAAAGAAAGGTCTTGCATTGATGATCATCACCCTTGACCTAGTGATGGTGGCGCTGCTCTTTTCCGGCGGCGGAGCTGCCTTAGCTGTTGGCCTCATCGGCTACCGAGGAAACTCCCATGTGCAATGGAACAAGGTTTGTAACGTGTTCGGAAGGTTCTGCGATCAGGTGGCTGGAGCCATTGGCGTTTCCTTGCTCGGCTCAGCAGCATTTCTCTTGCTGGTGTTGCTTGCTATGATCAACCTACACAAGAAACACAACTAATGCAAATAAAGTTCAAAAAGCAATTTATGTGTTCCTTTTTTTTTTTTTTTAATTACTATATATTATTCAAGAAAGGAATTTAAGGTGTTAATGTAGCCGGCATTACTTACTTACTCATCTATTATTAAATTCATGGCACCTTTGTTTTGCTCTTGCTAGCTTGCATCAAATGTAGAAATTTGAGATCATGATCATTATTTTCTTTGTGCTTGACCTTTGCTCGCAATTACCAAAATCACTTCTTCTTCTTTTTTTTTTATGAAAATTTTAGCAGCCACAAAAAAAAATTCAGGCATCTTCATGGGCTTGATCAATTCAGGCAAACTCGATTTACTATCAAAGAATCGCCATGGCAGATTGGGGTCCAACCCAACCCAACCCAACCATGCAAACATCAAAGATCATTACGAGCCCACCTTCAAAATAAAAAAAAGAGGTCAATCTATAAGATACAGTGGTCCAAGAGTTTAACACGTGTCAAGATCTCATCCTTTCTTACAGCCCAAGCACCATCCCATGTGCCGGTTTTACTTGCAAACAACTTAAAACAGTAAAAACCGAAATCAGTTTTCGATCAACGACCCAGATCAACTCAGCGGAGAAGAGTAAACGGGGGATTCCACAGTCTCAACCAAAATCAGGGGTGACGAGTCTGATGATCATAAATTTAGATGATCGAACGGCTCAGGATAAGAAAAACTACAGCAAACTGCATGCATGCAATGCAAAATTTTATCAGGTCCCTGCACATGACCGCTCAAAGTGGACATAACCTATATATATATATATATATATATAATCAGTTCTCTAACGATTTCCTGCAAAATTCCTTCACTTTTCTCCTTTCTGTTTCTGCGCCAAATATTCTTCTTCTAACAGTCTCTTAAATGGACCCAAAACACACACAACACACACTAGAAAGTACTAGACAGTAACTTATTTAGGTGTCTGATATGATTGCCAAAGAAAAGGGCCGAAAACGAGTGAGCGAGGAAGAGGAAATAGGAAAGCTTTTCATCGGAATTATGGAGGGGTATAAGGATTCATTGATTCCACCATTGTCTGAGTTCAATCCCGCGATTGAAAGGACAAATTGTGAAAAGGGTTCGAGCAGTTCCAAGAAAAGAGATAGGACTGAAGCTTCTGAGATTAAAAGTGTCCAAAATGAACGGAATAGAAGAGGGAAAATGGCTGAAAGCTACTCCGTTCTTCTGTCTTTGGTCCCTTCTCTCTTCCCAATTCCCAAGGTAAATTCAACTCGTCCAACCCATTTCGAATTTTTACTTCTTTCTCATTGAAGAATTCGAAAAAAAAATTGTGTGATAGTATAATTTTTTGTAAGGTTTGAAATCAGTCGTTTTTGATATTTCTTATGCAGCCCTCAAGGGAGAGGACTCTGACAGAGACAATAAACTATATTAGAAGTTTGGAGCAAGAGAAAGAGAGATTGGAAGGTCTGAAGAGCTCATTACTGCAGAAGCCAGTCTTATCTGGTTGTACTACGTATTTGATGAATCCCTCTGTTACTGCCAGTTTATGCAATGGTGTTGCATTTTTTGGGATCCAATTGCCTGCTAAAAGGGGTTTATTGAGAAAGATTGCCAAGGCTTTTGAGAAGTATCATGCCGAGGTTTTGGAGGTTACCATATTCGTTAATGATCACGGAATGTTGACTTTAACTGGCACGTTTATGGTGGGGAATGATGGAGCTTTTGTTGTTGAGAAGATCAAGAAAGAAATTCTGATTCTGTAGATAGGTGCTATATGTATTGATGATTATTAAGACTTGATTCAGGGCCAGGAAATTTTGTTCTTATTCAGTTTTAAGAAGAGATCTTTATCTTTCATTAGGAAATGCAAGTATTTTTGGTGCTGAAGTTGTGTCTCAAATTTATATAGCATTACGGTGCAAATCAGAAAAATTTTGATTCTCATCATGTATACAACATTATTCAGAAAACAAAGTTTTGAAGTTGGTCTTATGATCCAGGCGTACTAACACTGTTTCTGTGCTGCTCTTTTATCTTGAATGAGTTTAAAGCCTAATCACAACAGTCATTCCGAATTCTTGATTTGTTTTGCAAGTTTCATAAACCATTGCTTATCATTTTAAAATCCTAGTAAAATCCCAAATTCGTTTTCATACAGAAATGATTGTAATTTGAGAGTTAAGGAAATGAAATCCTCAAACAAACAGGGGGCAAATTGGCAACTCTAAATTCTAATAGGCTACAATTTGTAGCCTGGTTCTTGGTTCAGCCCATCTCTGCTCCACCACAGCGCTGATTTCTTCCTCCACATTCGACTGAATTCTTTCACTCAATTCTCTTGCTTTCTTCCTGATATCTTCTCCAGCGTTCTCCATTACTACTGTTCTGGCTATCTCCGCAGCCTTTGGCATCCCTTCTTCACCCCGACACCAATCTCAACTACAGGCCTAGCATTCAGAGGCTGATCAAGTCGCATAGCCAAATGTTATGCTCTCCATGATCGAACTCCATCCACACTGACAAACAAAACCACCAATACTTGGGTGGGCTAGAATCTTGGCCTGAGGAGCCCATCCCTCCAATATTAATCCCTTCCCTTTCACTTTGTCAAGATATCCTTCAGGTAGTGCTCTTTCAACACTTGTTTTCTCCCCGCCTGGAAATCTAATTACCCAAATATGGTTAACATTGCTATAATCCAGGCCATGAGCAATCTCTAAGATTTCCTCGGATAAAAAACACTCGCTACCAAAAGAAACAAACATGCTTGAGGCTCGAGGTTCTCATTTAGCCATTGCATTATCTTAGAATTCTTATCATCATCATCAATAGGGTCCTGAACAAGTGAACCAACTGGAATTGTCTTTTTCTTAGCCAAGGCAGAGAGAAACTCAATGTACTTACTCTCGATGTCATTGCAACTTTTGACCAAGATGACCTCAGAAGATAGATCAATACAATCAAAGACTCGTTCTTTATCTTTGCCATCATTTAATGTGGATTCCCCACAACTTATCATCTTCTTCATTTCAAACTCCCTCAGAAAAATTGTGGCAGCTGGAAATTGAACATTGCGATTTTTGAACAGGCGAAGCAAGAAAGCAGATGCAGTAGCTCCGGTAGTTTGGAAGTGAACTGCTGGAATACGATGGACTAAAGCTATCAGAGGCACCCATGACTGGTAGATGTCATATATAAGCAAGCAAGTCTGGTTGAATATTATTGATGATGCTGGAGAAGGATGAGCATTTCCAAAGCTCGAATGAGGGTGACAATGAGATGGGGTGCTAGGCCATTGGTTGTATGTAGTGGGGGGGAAGCTCCAGCAAAGATGGACGGTGGAGTTCTTCTAAGTTTATTGAAAGGTCAAAGCAAGTTCTGGAGAGAATTTTCTCGACGGAGGTGAGATTGATAGGAGTTGAACAAAAGTAGATGCTGAAGTTTCACTTTGCGAGTTTCTTAGCTAGCTCAAGAAAAGGAGAAGTATGACCATGAGCCAGCCGTGGAAACATCAGAACTCCAAGACACGGTTGTTCTCTTTCCATATTTGAGTCTTGCAAATCAAAAGGAGAATGAGATCACAATGACCAAGTGTTTCGAAACTTAGAAGTGAAGAAGATGAAGGAATAGTCCAAAAGAAAGGCATTGCTCAGTTGTCCACTGCCGTTGCCATCAACTTAGAAGGACTTGGTAATGTTTTATGCAATTTTAGACAGCTCGAAGACTTTGAAAGTGACCAATGGCCGGCCAGGGTCAAATATTAAGATTTGCAGTCTTAATAAATATTTAGTTGCTGTGATCGACATTTTGCATTTGTAGATGCAGAGCAGAATGGACTGGAATAGAGAAATGGTGAACTTGTTATTCAATTTTCGAACACTCATAAGCATCTACAGTTAAAATGCAAATTTGCCTTGTTTCCTTCTTTAGGATTTGTTCAAGGTTATGCTACTTCTTTCCTTACAGACAGCCAAGCATTCTTCCACCATCAGCGCAGAATTGGTGAAACTAAATTTGACACGCTCCAACCGCTCAAAGTCGATTAAACCTTTAGAAATTCCTATTTACAGTTAAGGTCCAAGCCCATCCATCATTTCACTCCTAGAGTTGATATTAGAAGTGGCAATTTGGATTGAGATCCATTTATCCATCCATATAATCCATAATTAAATGGATAATGGATTGTCCATTTATAGTATTGGTTTTAAATGGTTGATCAAAGTAAAACCATTAAATTAAATGGATTTATATGGATTATCCACAAAAACCATATATATCCATTTACTTAAAAACCAAATAAAAGAGAGGGAAAGGAAATAATTAAAAAAAGGAGCCATCCTAAAATTGCAGTTGGGGTGTGAAAAAGCCGTTCCCGTGAATGGTAACCAACCCTGAAACTGAATGTTGGGGTTTACTGCTGAACTAATTAATCATTCCTTTGTTTCTTCTTCGAAACTCCACAGTACTTGGGATTTCGATTGGCTTTGAAGAGGTCAGGACAAAGGGAACATGCCCTGCTTGGTACACCCATGCACCTGATTACTAGATGTTGAGCTCAAAAGTCATCCGTGGCTTTGGTAGTAGACATTGCTAAGTGTTGTGTGAGTACGAATAAAAGCTAGTGTTGGTATTTTTGTAGATACCCTACATACGGTCTATGCAGGACTTCTATTGTTTGGGCTAGTTTGCAATATATGGCTACTCTGTCATATGTAATATATATATACATATATATATAATAATAATAATAATAATAACTTCAGATAGTTTTTTAGTGAAATGAAGGTTCATTTTGCTTGAATTTACATCCGTGGTATTTTGTGGCTTGAATTTACAAGAAATGGTAATACAAAAAAAAAGTAACAAAAATATTTAAATGGATTATAAATGAATAATTGGTTTTTATTTAATCCATTTAGATCCATCCACTTAGATCCATTTATTAAATGGATTGGATAAATTTCATCCACCATCCATTAAGTCAAAACCAATTATAAACCATTTATCCATATTGCCACCTCTAGTTGATATCATATTAATCATCGAAGTATCAAATTAAGAAGTGATCACACAGGCTCCAACTTTCACCTATATAACGGCTCCCAGAGCAAGTCTTACCACATCCGAATATATATCTCAAATCCAGATCTGAAAACCATTTCATCTTTTCCCTCGGCCCCAACTTCCAGCTGTGGGCATTCATGCGAAATTTAGAGCCGTAGTCATCCAACATAAAAGAAGAAATGAAGAAGCTCTCCTTTATCCTATCTCAAGTACCAGTTGTTAACAGTAGAGCAAACGGCAAATCCTCTTCCTTTCTCTAATCAACTATCAGGGTATTCAAGTTTCTGCATGTTTCTCAACTGAGCAAACTACACTTGCTTAACATTTCCCCGCCCGGCTGGAGGGCGCCAAAGCAAGAAGATGAACAGTTACATTAACTTCATGCATAACTATCAAACCAGTTGCGTATGGAGAAAGCAAAATTGCACGCAGTTTGGAAGTCTGCTAAAAGCAGTCAAAGATCAGTAGTACGCTTCACCATTGAGCACCTACTCGTGTAACATCTGTTCAACGGCCAGGTACGCAGATGTGATTCTTTGGAAGCATGAAGTAATACAACTGCTGTTCATGATGAAAACCAAGCACTTCTTGAGCAACAGGCAACTTCACATGCAACTTGAACACCATTGACCTCAATTTTCAACTCAAAATGCCTGCTTTTGTGGTCAAGTCATCAAGATTTACATTTACTTCTGCACCGATGCTTGATAAACTGACAATCATGGCAGGAATACTTTTCTGTAGTGCAGCAGCGACATCCTAGAAGATAAAGGAAATGATTATTGTGCTTGCACAAGTGGCATCATTCTTTAATTACAACATCCAAAATCATTGAAAAACATGTAGTCCTATTCTTTGACACGAGGAAGAGAAAAAGAAGATGATGAAGATAATGAAAAACATTTACTTCTCAACTAAGTCTGGCAGTTTTCCAGCTGTGGGCACGTGTGTGTGTGTGTGAGAGAGAGAGAGAGAGAGATGACTGTTGAACAACAAAAGAGATCCCCATTTAATATCAGTCTATAGGCATAACAATTTAACTAAATAAGTTTACCTTTTTGTGTTCCTTCTTTTGGTGCTCAATAACCTCCAAAGGCCACTCACTAACTAACTTTTGAAGTTGACTTAGCATGCCTTGCCTTTTTCCATCGGATAAACTCTGGTTTCAAACACATGCAATGTGTCAATATTCATGATTCTGGCAACATATTGAAGAAGGAGGAGGAGGCAAGATTTAAGCTCGCATTATAACCAGGTCCCAGCATACTATAGTTTTCTTCTATGGCAAGAAAAAGTTAACACCTGGTATTAAAAACTGCCAGACAAAGTATAAGGGGTATCAATTTTTTTAACCTATTACTAACTTTTGGCCAATGCAAGTGATACTTTATCCAGCTTTAGCATTTCTATTGGACTGAAAATAGGTGATCCACTTGTTTTTGTCCTTAAAGACTTAATAGAACAGGATATAAGTTTATTCTATAATTTCTCCACCAACTCAACTCATGCATCAAATGAATAAGTAACCTGATTGAGTTCTTCAATGACAGCAGCAGCACTCTCAGGCTTGCTCTCAAGCAGAAAACCCTACAACCAACAATCCAAAAGTTGGAAAAAAAAAGGGGAGAAACTAGTCAAACTAATGAGATCCTAATTATCTAAAGAAAAATACATTTTTCTGAAGCAGGTTGAAATGCATTTAAAATCAAGCTGATGAACAGTAAAAAATGAGAAAGTACAGCAGTAGATACTCTGATGCTTTATTCTATAATTTTTCCGCCACTACTTAATTGCTTGCTATCACTATGGAGCAGAAGGATTAACTGAAGGCAGTTATTCATCACTGGTTGACCAGAGATGAATCCCACTATAAAGAAAAAAGAAAGCATAAAGACGATTCTAACAAGGTTTCCATTGAAATATATTGCTTGGAGACGCAAAGGATGCCCAAATGGAGTAGCACCTTAAACTTGTCCAAAAGTAGCAGCTGCATTACCTTAGCACAAGAAAACCCGCTTGCAAGAGTATGCTGCTTCTTTGATTCTGATCTCAGTTTCTCAACTTTCCATAGAGAATCAACATCTCCTGAAACAGGTACAAAAAATGAAATTATTAACTATAAAAAGATTCAGTCAGCAGACGTCAGAAAAACCATATCTTAAACTACTCTATCCCAACCTAATGGCTTTGATTTTCCACAGGATGATGCAGAATTGTTTTCCTCAAATCGCAATTGTGCCATGCTTACAACAGCCAAATTAAAGGCCACAAATATTTTAAACAAATAATAAAAGTAAGAAATTCCATAATTAAGGAGGATGCATCAGGAATAGAAAGGCAACAGTCAAGACCTCTTTTAGCTGCAAATTCCATCCACATGTCAATGGTAGCCTGTCGCAGGTTCACTCCTCCAGCCTTGATAAACCTTTTTGCATATTTAGACAGTAAACCCCATTTCTGCGTCTCATAACATATTCTGCAACAATGAGACCAAATATCGATAACATGACAACTCCACTTGAGCAATGAAGCATACATATAATGAACAGCAACCTCTAAAAACAACATGGACTAGTGAAGAACTCCATTGTTGCCACTTTTACCTAGTGAAGGGTGTCATATGTCTTAATTTGAAAGATGCTTCAAAAGCTTATTTATCTACAGCCTCGGGAGTTAATCATGGGCATGAGTGGCATATAGGATTTTCAAAGGTAAAGACATCAACATAAGCAACAAGAACCCTATCAGGAGCATTTAACAAAACAGTTATACAAAATATCCGTGTTCTCATTAAGCAAATTGTGAAATTTGAAGTAGAAGATGCAAACATGTGCCTAATGGGAGGCTAACTCCATCTAGGTGCCATTCAAAGATGGATTAACAAATACAATTTCTGACTCATGCAGGGCTTCACATCTATGATTTTTCACAAGTAAAAGCAATGCAAAATGCAATTTTCTTGGGTAAGAATTTAAGTTTTAGAACTCATATCCATATTTGAACATACTCAGCTAAATCCAATGGAGAAGTACATCTATGAACCAGACAAAAAATATGACTATCAATACATGCAGAACTTGGAAAACTGCATAACTCACCATCAGTTGTGTTCAAATAGTTAATAATGAAAGCCAAAAACTACAAGAAGACAAAATCTTCATTAAAATCATGACATAGATGAACTTAAAATAAACAAGAATTATTCAACAAGATATCACCAACAAAAATCCCAACAAAGAATTCAAAGCTTCAAGGCACAGAGAATGATGAAAAAATACGAGTGATGTGTAATCACAAAATATACCTGAAGACTATATCAGCGGTGCCAGCTTGTAGTGGTAGATTATTCTTCTTCAGAAGTTCCATTATATCTGCCATGAGTTTAGAATCTTTGTGCTGCTTAGCATACAACTGCAGCCATACAACACCGGATCAATTAGCATGATAAGAACTGCAGCAGATTATGTCCTACACCCAAAAAAGCACCAAGATTATATCTTTGTTACCAGTAATTGATGAGCTGATCCCACACTAGGAGTTAATCCATATAGATTATGCTTCCATAATGCCTTCTTACCTGCATATAATAAACCTTAAACATTTCAGAAGCAAAATAAATGTATCTTCACTCTAAAGGCCAGCAAGCCAAAATCAACGTGCACAAGTGTCTGTACTCTAGAATTATTCAGGTTGATGGGTGAGAAGCATTCCTCAAAGTATGCAGATGCCCATTTAACTGACACATGATCCACAAGCAACCAAATGTCTATCGACCAACACAATGCCCCCATTTTGGTCCCCTCCCGACTCCAAAAAAAAAAAGGGTTCAAAAAGCTATGAGCTAAACGAGAATCCCATACCATAATCAACAGCCCCAACACGTACACATGCTTTTGTAACTTCTTGGCATAGGGCACAATTAAAGTTATCATGTATCCGAAGATTTGACAGTCTCTGCACAAGAGAATACTTGATTAATAAGAGTGAAGCAACAAATGTGAGTGAAAGAGATTCGACAACCTACTAACAAAAAGAGCAAGAACTAACAAATATTCGAAGCCTCTGCAGAACATCGAACAGAAGCTTAATATCTTCACGGGTAGCACTCTGTTGAACGAGTGACCACAACCACGCATTAGGAGGCGCAGATTTCTGTTCTGAAATAGATTTCAGAATTTTATCATGTAATTCCCTCACAGACTCTGCGTTTCAAACACCATAAGAACAATTGGGCTTTGTCAGCCAACATTTTCACCATAACGAGTAAACAAGAAAAAGATATCTTTTGAAAGAATCCTCACCTGTAGGAGCACTATCAACTGCATTCGATTCAGAAGAAAATAATTGCTTTTGCATTAAAACCCCCATTGGCCAACGTTGCAATACATTATTTGAGCAGTTCAGTCCCACTTGTAATCGATTTCCACGGATAATCCCTGTAAAATTTTTCAAATTCCACATCAGAAGTAAAACCAACAGCTTCTTCCTATCTTGTAATTTTAACAATTTCCTAAATTTCCTTTTTTTCTGCCGACTCCTCCTTCTGCTTTGAAAAAAGCAGCTTTCAAACCGAGACGATTTTTTTTTTCGCCTTAAGCTAAAGTAGTCGCATTTTCTTCTTTCTTACATTATTAAAAATAAGCAAATTTTTTAATAAACAAATAACAAGGGGAAGTACCCGAAGAGGAGAGAATAGTGGAATAAAAAGCTCGCCATTGAGGAGTTGAATTGAGTTGAGAAGAGTCGACTCGGACTGAGTTCAGAAGAATCGAGGACCGGCTGGTTAAAGCCCTAGCGAGTCTGCGAGTTTCTGGGAGCGCTCTCATTTTCACTTCGGAGAAGATGGCAGTGTTTGGAAGGAGACCGGGAAGAGTGTGCCGCGACTTAAGGTGGAAGAGCGGAGTTTTTGCAGAGTGACGACGTCGTTTGACAATTGAGGCCTCGAGCGGAACCCTGAAGCCTGAAAGTCAAGGTTGGACAAAAGGCGGTACTAGGAGGAAAGACGAAGAGGCACGCTTTTGGTCACTTAATGAACTGATGACTATACCCATTTTGTTTTCTTTTTTTTTTTTTTTGTTTGGAGCGCAACCATTTTCTTTTTTGGTTTAATTGCATTCCTCTATTCTCCAAAATTGTGCTTCTATTCCTACCAAAAAATAAATAAAAGAGAAAAAATTGCTCCCCTCCCATTTACCTTGTGTAGTTTTGGAATGTGAGTATTTATTATATCTAGCATTACAAATAAACCTGTAATAAATCTCCTTCTTCAACAATCCGTAGAGTTGGAAAATCTTTCTGATAACCTAGCAAGTAATTAGTTAATTCAATTTGTTTAGTTAGAGATATAATTTTTTTATCCCAGATGAAATTTGAGCATAATCAATATTAACTTTTCACGAGTGAGTAAGAGATCTCTAATTCAAGTTTTATAACATCGTCTTACTACTAATAACGCAGGCAAAAATTTGGAAGGCACAGATACACGTGCCAATCATTTTGGCAAGTACATAAAAAGAAACAGATGAAAAAGTCTTGCATCACTTCGTTGATTTAAGTAGGAGCAGGAGGAAGAATTGAATTGAGCTTTGAGTGGTTTCCAAAGCTCCAATTGCTTTTGGTCATTTTTTGCAACAAAGCAAATTGTTCAATGTCTCTCTTTTTCTTTTTCTTTTTAATTTTTGGTTTCAATAGTCGGGTTGGCTTCCATGCAGGCATGCTGATTGAAGACGCCAAAAAACTCCTATGGGGGTTGCCACTTACCAATCACTGGGGAAGAACGGGAGGTGCAATTGTGCGAGTATTATACGATCGACAGTGGCTGCATTTCTGTCCAATTATATGGAAGAAGACCTCTGTTGTGTCATTGCAGTCATTACACAAAATCCATACCTGCAAGAAGAAGAAGGGCCGTGATATATCAGATGTTCCAAGTTGCTGCTTCAGGAGGAAAGTAAGAGCAAAAGACTAGAAATTTGTATGATAAAAAAACATTGCTCTCTGTCTCTCTTCTCTCCTCAGCTTCCCTAGCTGATCAAGCGACGCTACTTGGAGAACAAACAGGTAACGAGAGGGATGACAAGGGATTTACCTTCCTATGTCTGTAGTCCTCAGGCATCACAGTCTCTTCAATCTGAAAAATGGAAGAGATTCTGTTAGACATCTGAAACTTACCACAAAAATTTCTAAGTGAATCCGAGACTATACATTATGACAAGAGACAATTAACTTTACGAATGAATGAAATCGGGGAGCAAACTGCGAATAAAACCACGGTCAGCATAAGAATGACTAAAATCCGACAGTATGATTAGAAAAACAAATTAGCTAACTGAACTTTGAGCAGCTTTGGTCTACAGGGAGCAACTTTGGTTATCAAAACTGAATAATCCATCGTTGACTGTGAAATGTTGCATGTTAGAGTATGGTCACGGCAATACAAAACCATCCATCATCAACATTAATGTTATGCCCTTCTGCACAGTAAGGATTTATCCATTTGGCTTTCTACTAGCTCTACACATACCCCAAATCTCCTTTTTGAGTTTAGATATATAAAGGTCATTTTGTGAGGTGTGAAGTTTGCCGCAATCTCTTCTTCTAACTAATCCAGGCATGATGACTAACAAGAGGTCAACCAGCAAGAACTATGGACAATAAGCACATTTCTACATGCGGAAGAACTATGGATAGCAGGGCGACTCTCTCAAGATTTTGCACTTGTCGTAGGTACAAAAGGACCACCTAGTAGAAATCCAAGCCAAAAATATAACCTCATAAAAGTGGCCTTTTAATAGAGTTACCAGTCATGCAAAACAGGATGAACAAACTCCAGAAAGCATCAAAGTGGATGCTGGGGGAAAGTGACTGAAAACATAATTAATGCACTCACATAGATAAAAAGAGTACAAGATTCTTAAGGAACAGAGGAAAGTCCTTTGGTGACTGAATCTCAATTTTAAAACCTTCATGAAACATAATCCGAACAAGTGGATACCACTGCTAAAGTATAGTCTTCACTTGGCTTCAGGGATAGCGTAAACCTACCTCCTCATCTATTCTCTTCCAGATTCTGGACATGTCAATTATTGACCTGGAACATATGGGGCAGCAATACCTGAAATTTAATCATCAAAGGCAATATTAAACAAAGTAGTGAACCACTTTCTTATTTATATATGAAAATAAGAGGCAAACTAATGTTTACAGGGAAGACCCAATTTACTTGTCATGCTCTATCATCTCGTGGTAGCATTCACAGTGCATGGTATGCCCACATTTCATAACAGTTGTGTCTTTCAAAGAGTCAAAGAGATACTGAAATTCGAAACAAGGAAGTGTCACAAACAGCAAGCTACCTGAGTTTCTAAATTCCCTTTATGAGAACTTGCACTTAACAAAGCTAACCTCATAACAAATAGGACAGTGATGCCGCATCGAATTCTCTACGCACAAATGATTGTCACGAAGACCAACTGAATAGCAAGAGCCTGCAAGTTAACTATATTAGCCCAAAAAACACAGAAAATGTGTTTGAAACCAAATTATTAATTGCATAATTACATTTTTAGCAGAAAATAAAGATCATGCAAACAGCAGAAAAGCTGAAAACATCACGGGATGAGGTGCTTAAAAAAGTGACATCCTTCAGCCATTGGCAGGGCTATTACGAGCTGAAAAACGTACATTACTTGAGCAGTGAACAGGAGCCCCTGATCACCATTACTTTACAATGAGCTATTTATATGACAACTTATTTCGAGAACTTGTAGGAGTTACAGAAAACGCTAGACATCAATATCTGCATATGTACAAATATGCAAAAGATTAACACGGAGACCACTGTGCAAAAGTTAGATGACATTGCTGCAATTCATTGAGATTAATGCATAAAATCCAAAAGGAACTGTTCCAGTTTTAATTCTAGAGACAGGTATAACAAAGAATGCTCACATACCACATTTATTGCAGTGGAAAAAGTTCTCTCGACCACCAACTCTGCATAATAAATAAAATAAAACAATAAGAAAAGCTCCTGACTCAAACATCAATTAAGTAGAACAATATTTTTCCAGACAGAAAGAAAGGGGAGGAAAAAAGGCTCGGGTTGTAAACCTGCAGATCCCGCAATCATCGCAGTGGAATTGCCCTTTATCAACCTGTAATAAGTTGGTAGCAGTTACAATGGAAAATGAACAAGCAGAATCACAGGAATAACTTGAAAGCGGTTCAAACTTATTTCAGGTTCATATTCTAATGAAATAAAGTTCAAACTCTAATGACATTTATGCAGATTAAAATGAAGGCTAATGTCAATTACATCATCATCATAGAACTTGCAAACTTCACAAAAATATTCTCCCATTCTGACGCCACAATTTGTACAAACTTGAGCAACCTGTAGAAGACAAAGACAAATGACCATGGAATTATTGACAACAATGACGAGGACAAGAGTAAGAAGAAAGAGATAGCAGTCAAATGACACATACCGGCTGCTCTGTGTCACAAACTGAACAGATAACCTAAATGACCAAGGGAGAACCCAGTGAGCTCAAAATCTACAAACTAGTACATAATTAGATAAGGCAAAACAATTAAACGACATGAAGATTACAGTTTTTGCATCTTACATACTTGCTTCACATCATATCTGATCACTTCATGACGGTCGAAAACATTCCGCAACATACTCTGATGATCCAGACAGACACAAGTAACAAACGAGTTACATGAATTGAACCTCTTAGATTGAACTGATTCTGTAATATGAAAGAAACTCCATTGGAATTCCTTATTAAACTACAATAAGCGCTTAGGTCCAAATTAGGAGGAGTAAAATCAATATTAAGCTAAACAAAAGGAAATAACAGTTTCTTGCATTCATCCATACTACCGTGGACTCGTTGTGGCAATGACGACAATCAAAGACCTCATTACAGCAAGGAGCTCTAATCTTGCATCTTCTCCGATAATGCTTGCATCTACAAATTCAAAAATAAAAAGGGCGATAAATTCCATGCTTCAATCACTAGGACTAATGAGAACTCAAAATATAGGCAACAGGAAGAGATCCCACACAGGAGTATCCAAAAACAGATCAGGAAAAAGGGTATCTTCCAGAGGGATAGACAAAACAAAACAACATAAAGACTGAAACTTTATCTATAAAACTGATTGCAAATGACCTCAGAACAACCAATAAACATATGCGGATTACAAAAGAGAAACCAACTACCAATCAGACAGTGAAAGATAAAAACTTTAAGCACGAACAATCGAGCTAGTTACCATAACCATAAGAACATCAATCTTCAAGTTAGACGTCAAACCAAAAGCAAATCTCTATCAACAACCAAAGACACATGCATCTAATTGCATGCATATACTCTCATACTTGCATATACTCTCATTCAATAGCAAACGCATTCAAAAGCATGTTGTGATATAAATTCAAATAAGGGAAAAAGAATGAAGCAAGTACCCGTAACCCATCTTCCCAAAATCAAGGCGATCATTGCAGGAGCCATCCATTTCTCTTATAAGCAAGAATTTCAATCCCAACTCACGCCGAAAGATAGCAAGAGCAGAGAAAGAGGGAAGGCTAAGAACAGGAGGGGAGGGAAGATGGGATTTGTCCAAAAGCCTTGAATCAGATTGAAATGGCCTTATTATATGTCACCGGACAAAGACTCCATTAATAAAGGGCTGGAATTTATTGGTTCAGAATAAATAGGCAGGAATTTAGTGTAGATATAAGTAGCAACTCGCATGACCACATTTCGTGCTACTTAACTACAACCAATATACTAGTGCTTTTGTCATTACTATATTTGGAAAGTAGGATATGACATTATTATATTGGTAGTTTATAGATTAGGGAGAGAGATGAAAGGATAAGGTATGATGGGAATCATGGGATGGGAATGGAATGGGTGACAAAGGGACAGAGTGCCGTATAATGGGCGAATGAGATTGCTAAAAGTGAAAGCAAACTCATTGAAGCCAGAGGGAAAAGGGCAAAAAAAATTTGTTTTCTTCTGCTAAAGAAACCTGCTATTCCATTTAGCAGCGGCCGTGGCTATTGGTTGCTTTAGCTGTGATTCAAAGAAACCCACATGGGTAGTCCAATCTTGTAAATAATTGAAGTTTGAGAAGTAGCGGTGTGGTTAACTTATCAAAATGGGGGCTCAAGGAAATTTAACGGGTTATAATTGAGCAAGAAGTATAATTAAGTACTTATAGGGCTAGTCACACGATTATTTTAGATATCAAAAATATTATGAAAGACTTGCCCCTAAGAGATAGCCATTGAGGATTTTTTAAAATTCAAGTGTAAACAAAAATTACTTCTTTCCTGGCTTTTATTGGACCTATTTCTCCAATCTTGTTTGATAGCCGTTCCATTTGCATCGGTCATTTTTTCAAAAACAAGTTTTTCAAATACAATGCTACAATAATTCAAAAAATATGTCATCTATACAATAAATCAAATACTTCAAAAAAAAAATTAATAAAAATTTTTCATATATACTGCTACAATAAAATTTTTCAAAAATATCCCCAAAAATAATTAATCCAAACGGAGTTATGTTATTCCACGCGAACGTTCTAGATAGAAGACTATTTGAAATGTTATTTTAAATAATTATTTTAGCATTTTCTATGATATGATACATATAAGATAAAAAAGGAAATAAAAAAATATCAAAAATATATTTATAATGCAAGTTAAATAATATTTTTAAAAATTTAGATATTCTTTTCAAACCAAATGGGGAGAATTTATTTCAAATTTTTAGAACGAAGGCCACCATCCCACTGGCCACAATCCTTTTTGACTGTATGATTCCCGCATTGAAAATTTTATAGCAATTTTGTATCATCTCAGTTTCGCCGCATTCTTAGAGAAAATACTGGATATAGTTACGAAGAAACAAGATAATTCATGTTAGCATACTTGTACGTAGATTCTTCTAAATCAGACAGGTGCATCTAGTCTTATGATGGTTGGGTTTCTAGGTCCAATTGGACCTATTCCCCTTATTCCATAGCAATGTATGTCAAAAAAAAAAAAAAAAAGAAGACCTACTCCATTCGTTGAGTGTTGATGGCAATTCCGTGGGTGGTTCGAAGCATATATTTCGTTGGCTGTTGATGGCGGTTCTGGTTATGAGTTGGTTTTGATTCATGACAAGTGTTCGTGCATTTCCGAAGGTGCAGATGCAAATGCAATCAACTTGGGGTTTCACCCACCGCAGAAATAGTGGTAAAATCTGGGGACAAGTGCTAGCCTACTGCTAATTACCAAGATCAACTTGCCATCACGAGTGTGCCAAACTTCCAAGTTGCTTGTCCCGCATCTCCTACTGGTTATGACCGCAACGGATCTTCTGTCTCACATCCTGTACCACTCTCTATCTCGCTTTTATTATATTACTATTTCTCCTTCATAAATATCATGTTTTAATTCTTTTTTGTTTTCTTAAGATCCAATAACTATTAATTAAGTAAAAAATAAATACAACAGTTTCAAAAAAGTAATATATATTAGAAAATTAAAAAATACAGCAGAAAATTCACAAAAAATCTCATGTTTTATGCATTTTGATTTTTTGAGTTTGTTAAATTTTGTGTATTACTCAATTAATAGTTATTGAATCTTAAGAAAACAAAAAAGAATTAAAACATGATGTTTATGAAGGAGAAATAGCAATATAATAAAAAATGGAACAGAGAGTGGCAAAGGGTATGAAACAGAAGATCCGTTCCGGGTTACTACTCTCATTTTTCAAGCGGGGCGTCTTTGACTTTCAGTCGTAAACCTATTTGGATTGTGAGGTTTTTCAAAGAAAATAATTTGAAATAATTTTTTAATATATTTCTCGATTACATTTTTTATTTGATGTACGTCATAATATTATGGTATTTTCTTTTATAAAAATTTTCAAAAACTTCAATCTAAACGAGTTAATTTCCTAGGTAGCTAATGATATGAAAAAAAAAACTTTTAATTTACTATAAAGTGTAAACAGATAAAAGGAAATTTTTTTTCTTTGAAGAAACCAATATAATGTACCTTTTAATTTCATGAACTTTCTAATTCTAAATTTTTCCCATGACAATTATGAAAAGGTTGTAAGCTGGGTTTCTTTGCTTTTTTTTTTTGGAAAACTAAAATGCTGTGCAGAATTTGGTAGGCATTTGGTTCAAGCTAAGGAATCGGAATTGTAATTGGAATCATTTCTAAAAAAAAGTATGGGATTTTCTTGAGGGCGTCATTCAAATAACTAGAATTTGGCAAATATCTATAAGGAATAGGTATCATAATTTAATACCATTTTTTACCTATATTTTGTCCCTTTTTTTTTTTTTTTTACTCTTTCATCGATTCATCCTCTTTTTTTCTATGTTTAAATCCTTCGTACTCATCCTACCACCATATCTCTTACTAAAACACCACCTAGCAACTCTGTCACCAAATCTCTTATTGTAATGAAAAGAATGTGATGGAAAGAAAAAAAATTTTCCTCCCAAACTTAATGGAATTAGAAATATACAGATTTGAGATTAATTCATCAAAATAATACACTCAACCCATAACAAAAGTTAAGTTGGGTCAATTAAAGGAAAAGAAGCCCGAATGTTTAATGGATGGGAGAGAGAGAGTACCATGGAAAGAGGAAAGAGAAAATGGAGAGTTCACCATCAAGGTACGGAGGGAAAAAGGGAGAGGGAAGAGCAGAAGAATGAGGAATCATGAACATGAGAGAAAATAGTCAAGGACCAAAGGAAGAAAAGATAGAGCGAGATGTTAGAAAAAGGTGTAGAAAGAGCCAATTTTTAAATCATGCACATGGATTAAATTTGAAAATCCACCAAAACCTCCCAATTTGAAAATCCTTTGGTATAGGCATCACGGCTGCGAATGGCGCAAGTCAAGGAATTGCAGCCTGGTCGCTAAAGGAAAGGCAAGCAGGGAACAAAGTTCAGGACAATGCAGAGGCTGTCAGGCTTTGTATGATCAAAGCAGCAACTAAGGGATGGCAAGACATCAAGATACGAATTGAAGATAGAAAGCTGCTTGATCAAATACGAGCTGGAAATGCCAGAAGCTTGGAGTCAGCCACGATAATAGAGGACATACAGCAGATGACTTCATGGTTTCGAATGTGCTTCTTTGATAGGTTAAATGAGGACATTGATAGCCTATGCTATAGTTTGAGCAAAATTGCTCTTCTAAACTTTTGTGACATGGAGTGGAATTACTCCACCCCAGAGTGCTAAATGCACTAATGTTAAAATAGGAGCCCTTGCTCCAACAGTGTATAGTTTGATTGTGATATAAAATTTCTAACGTTTCGGAAAAAAAAAAAAAGTTAGAAATTGAGAACTCCCAAATTTTAATGATTCATTCTAAAATTTTGAATCCAACACCTATAACCCAAACAACTTAGGCGGCGCTTGGTTCATGAACCGGAATTGTAATTGGAATTGATATCATATATAAATAATTAGTATGGGTATGGCCCTATGTCATCATTCCAATATATATTGCTTGGTAAACACTTTCTAGGCTTAGGTATCAGAATAAAATATTTACTTTTTCTTTCTTCCTCGCTGCACATACTGCCAGCTTTGGAGGCCAATTGATAGCAGCTTTTCCTTGAACCACCACTGCTAGCAAACTCAAGACAGAATCACAATTAATTGCTACCTTGGAGCTCCTACAATTAATGTATTTAGCCTAAAGATTTCCTAACTTTTCCAATCTAAGATAGATCTAAATTCAAACTACAATCTTCATCTTCTTTTTTGGTTCCGGTATCTTTTGTTGCCAAAACCATCCACAAACCTCATCATCGCCCACTGTTTCTAGAAGAGGAGAAGGGAGGGGAGGGGGTTGTGGATGTTAGTGGGATGGGGAAGGAGGAAGGGAGAAGAGGTGGTGGAATGGAGGTGGCGGGGGAGGAAGTGGAGAAGGGACGGTATTCAGTTAGAATGGTTGTGTGTTTTTTATATTTCATTTAGGAGTCAAATTTGGTAATCAACCAAAACCTTCCAATATAGTCGGGAATGGAGAGTCACCAGATTTTTAGGCCTTGCTTGGATTGAAGGTTTTCGTCGGAAAATATTATCGTTTTCCGTGATCACATTTCCCTATCACCTTTTTCCCTCACATATATCAAATCGCTACAGTAATTTTTCCATGAAAAATGACGGAAAATGCAATCCAAACACAACCTTAGATTTCATTCCAATTTTTCAATACCCATACCTATTTAACAAGCAACAAATATAGTGCTGATTTCAATTCTTGGTTTCCAAACTCTTTGTACCAAGCGGTCTTTGAATTCCAATTCCAATTCCCTCTTACCAAACGGCTTAGGAGTCACAGCCGTACTTCAGCTATAACATCTCGACATGAGATGCCGTGTAATAGTTCAACATCCCACTTAAGCTTTATCCTCTGATTCGATCTGCCGACAACTTCACCTTCCAAGAAAATCAACGTCAGATCACTCTTCGAAACTCCACCCAGTCTTGAAATCCTAAACGTCACAAATAAAAAATTTATCTCAAACTCCGTCCTTCTGGTGGCACGTGCAACCAAAATAATTAATCCCATACATAAGATTTAACAGGCTTTTTTGGGTCGAATGGGCACAGGCTCCGGCCAGGCTCGCACTGGTTCGAAGCCATTCACAGTCCTAGTTTTAGGCCTATATGACTATTGACGCAAAACAGGCAAAAT